TCCATTCTCCTCTCAGGATCTTGTGCATGCACACAAACGCCCCCGGTGTGAGTTTTAAGCTACTGGGTCCGGGACTCGAACCATAGTCGACTACATGGGAGTCCAGCGACATAGCCATTACGCTAACTGCTGGTCCCTTGATATCTCATTCTTGATTACTCTTATTCAAGGAACACATTTCCCACTTGGTAACATGAAGAGAGCGTAATTAAAACATCTCTTGAGCCATATCTATGCTTGTGCTTTTATGCAATGAAGTTGTTTTAACTGGTGAAGATGATGTTAAGGTGTTTTGGAAGGGTATGAAAATTGGGAATGAGAAAAAGTAAATTTTATATGCTTCTATGAAGAAAAAAATTGAAAGTAGTCAAACATTGGTTCAGTTCAATTAAATTCCAGCATTTAAAAAAATTTATATAAGGGGCCAGCAGGCAGTATGATGATTAAGGCACTGGACACCCATATAGTCAACCATGGTTCAAGTCCCAGACCTGGAGGCCCAAAAATCACAAGAAAAAAAAATAGATAATAAATGATAAATGTTTTTAAAATTCTATGTAAGTGGGACCAGATGGCGTAATGGTTATGTCACTGGACTCCTATGTAGTTGACCGTGGCATGAGTCCTGGACCTGGTGGTTTAAACTTCACATCAGGTACATGTGTGTATCCAAGATCCCATGAGGAGAATGGAGGAGAAGGGACTGCAGTGTGGCCATCCTCCATGGGGGTGATTTCTTGTTTTCTGTCTTTCTATCTCTCTGGCAAGTGCATGAGCCCTATGGCAAAAATCTCTCTCCATATGCTCTTTGCTCCTATATCTTTTACCTCTTTTTCCTTTTTTTTCTTATAGCTTTATTGAGGTATAATAGGTGAACAGCAAACACAGTAAGTGTATGATGTGATAAGTTTAAACCCAGGAAACTATTACCACATTCAAGAAAATGAATATATCCATCACTCCCAAAATTTCCTGTTGCCCTCTGTGAACCCTCTCACCTACCCATTTCTACCTACCACCACTCCCATCTGCTGGCTGTCAATATATACAGATAAGTTTTCATTTTAAAGTTTTATGAAAATGAACTCATACAGTATGTACTCTACATCTGTTTTGTTTTTGTTTTT